TAATATCATTCAACCTTGTGGACTAAAGGAGGGGCTAAATTGTCACTTCTCCTGACTTGGGAGTAGGATACAAATTGATGTTCCAAGGGGCAGCACCTACAAGGTGGTAGAAGCAGTTCCATGTGTACTGACTACTGTGGAATGTCCTTTCACTGCCAAGAGTACAAATCCAATCAAAACTTGGTAGGGACTGAACTCAGGGAACACAGAAGGGATTGGTTCACAGTATGGATAGATGAGAGCCATGTCATGTTGGGGTGCAGTAAAAGAAAAAAGGGGGACATAATCTTCTATCTAATCCAACCAATGGTAGTGGTGTGGTGGTGGTAGTGATTTTCCCTTATGAAGGGGATGTGTCATCATGGTGGTTCTAGTAGGTGTCAGAAGGTGAAGGTCAGGTATGTGTATCGTATAGCGTGGGCCAAGCAAAAAAAGACGGCTGTAACCATACATTAGCAATTAAAGATATACGTACATTTATATTGGTCAATATTCGTCGTACGCCGTACTCCCCCATGGCATTAGAAAGCTCTTTGAAATCTCTTTTTAACCATGTGCTTATCATACTTAAGCGTCCGTTGGGGAAAAGTTATGGCTGTTCAAGTGAGTTTAACCTCTCTTAATGCCCTACGTGTTTTTTGTACTCTGTGTGGATTTTGGGCTATCTTTTTACCGTGTAATGACTTGTGGGATTAAAAATTTGCATGTGTTCGAAGCCAAAATTGTTGGTTGAGCATGTGCGCGCCAAACTATTTGGTCGCACACTTGTGGGACTCAAAAATTCAGCATGTGCCCGGCTGTAAACTTCAGTACAAGCCCTTTTTTAGTCAAAGTAGTCATTACACGGGAAAAAGATAGCCACAAATACACGGCTGGAACCGTACATTAGCTGGCCAACTCTATACAATAGAACTCAGTAGAAGATCTAGGGGATAGTTTTCAGAACCAAAGTGTAATTTCATGCCTTTGAAAAAAATGTCAAAAAATTGTGTGAAGTCCAAGAAATCAAAGTTGATTGAATTAAATTTGAAACAAGAAACCCAGATGCTATTACTACAGTATGGTACTATCCATACTGTACTTTCCTGCTTTTTGTTGTACAAGGTTGAGGTGCTAGTAGTATTGTTAGTAGTATTGGTTGCCTCCTCACAGCTTCTCAGAATCTCAGTTCTGGTAAGGTTTCTACACAGCAGATTTATGTGAAGAACAAGACAATCAATAACACCCCTGGCACTCACATACTATTTTGGGGTCTATTTCAGAGCTTTCCAAGTTCACGGTGCAATTAGAAGCATTCTTCTTCCCAGAAAGAATAGTTCTAGCTTACTTCTTATGCATAAAATTACAATTGAACTTTCCTTAGATGTGGGATTCTGAATGTTTGACTTAAAGTTCTAAATATTTGAATTAAAATTCCCAATGTCAGAGTTGAAGTTTATGGCTCATTTATTTTGTGCTTAGAACCTGTCAGAGATTCAACGTGATCAATAATCAGCCTTGTAATTGGGTACAATTTCATTGCTTCCAAAGTATCAATTTACACCAGAAATTAACAATGCAAAACTTGACCATCCACTACTGTAACTTTGCCAAGTTAGTTCTACTAAGCCTATAGAGCATCCTTTGACTTTCCAATGACACCAACATGTAAATAAGTTTATCAAGTTGGACTGGTGGACACTTAGTCTAGTGGTCTAGAATTGTTTTTTGATAAAGTTCCTCTGGCCTATGTTGCAACAAATTAGTAAGTCTCTGAAAACAGCAAAATTTGGCCATGTGGGCTGACAATGGGCTGTTGGCAGTGTGACAGCACCATTAGTACTATTGGCAAGAAGAAGCTGTTTCTCAGAGGCCAGCTACTCTTGGGTCATACCAGAACAGTTCTAGTTATCCTATTCCAAGAATGATTCTATTGGTGGTTGTCAAAAGAAGTATCTACTAGTATGTATATCTCCATATGGTATCTGTTTTTTGACAGAGGAGGGGATCCAATCCCAGTTGAATGAGTCAGTCCAGTTGTATCCTGATCAATGTACATGGAATGTATGATTCTAACAGTCCCTGTAAGTTCATTTTGTTGATTCATTAAACACTAATAGAATTTTTTTTAGCTCATTTTTACCACCAAAACCAGTTCAAAAATGCATCCAACAGAGAAAAATATATCTTTATTGTTTAAATTCTTGCTGGTCCCAAAATATTTCTATTAGTAGTTCTTACTAATGGGGATATAATATCAGTGGTTACTACTAGTTAAAAATATCCACCCATTAGTGGCTGCTTTCTACTACAAGTAGTAATAGTAGTACTGGATAACCTCTATTACTGCTTACTATTAGTGGGGATGTTGGTATTAGTGAGCACTTCAAACTGCTGGGTAGGGCGTTGCCAAGCAAAAAGGCAAGTCCATCCTCAGTGACCAAGGAAACAAGTAATAAGCACACTACCAGTAAGCCAGTTAAGGCAAGATCACCTGCAGTGTACAAGGACAAGGGGGGGGAGTAGCCATTTAAAAAAAAGAAAAAAAGCCAAAAAGAAAAATAGGGCAAAATAACCAACTTGGTCTTGGTGGAGTCAGTCCCACCAAATACTTTGCAGAGAACAGTTGTGGTGGGAATATGGAGGTGCTGCTGGGGGCTTGGGTTGTTGGGGAACTCCAGGTGGCAAGTTTGTTGTTGTTGTTGTTGTTGTTGTTGTTGTTGTTGTTGTTGTTGTTGTTGTTGTTGTTGTTGATGATGTTGATGATGTTGATGATGTTGATGATGTTGTTGTTGTTGTTGTTGTTGTTGTTGTTGTTGATGATGTTGATGATGTTGATGATGTTGATGATGTTGATGATGTTGTTGTTGATGATGATGATGATGGCAAAAATAGCAAAAAACTGCTTTTCCTTTCAAAATACTTGGTTGATTGATCTGAAACTTCCAGATCCCTGCAAATTTAGTAATATAATGAAGAGGCCCTGAATGCAACTGGTCTTGTTAGTGGCTTGATATGGTTACTTCTTCAAAGGATGCAGTTGAGCTCCTTTCTTTGAGATTTTTTGTTGTTTTTGCTATCAGCTTGGTGGGATTGGATTGCTGTAATTGGAGCTTGAGCTGTCCAACACAAATGTCAGAAACAACAACATCTTGACTGGAATCTTCTTCCAGTCTGTAAGAACTGGGGACAGATTCAGCTGCTGAGGCAAAGTGCAAGCAGCAGCTGGTGGGGTACTGAGAATGATACTAATTGCATCAGCACCACCATCTTGGTTGATTTGCTTTAAAGTGGCATGGCTTGTTGTTGCTATCCAACATGAATGTCAGAAACAACAAAATCATGACCAGAAGTTCTGCTTCTGGTCCATAAATGTGCTGGAACAACTGGCACATGGAGCCAACGCTGGTGATGAATCTTCCTTAAACTGAGTGGTGGTATGTAGGATGTGCCATTGTTCTTCAAAGGATACTAGGTGTTGGGTAAATATTTGGGGCAGGGTTTGTTGTTGTTGCTTTCCAGCACAAATGTTGGAAGAAACAACAGAAACTTCAACACCAAAAGATACTTTCAGTCCATAAGAACTGGCAGGGATGGATCCAGCTGAGGCAGAGTGCACACAGCTGGTGGGGGTACTGGGGATACTGATATCATCAGCATCATCTTGGTTGGGGTGCTTGCATGGGAATTTGGGTTGCTGTCCAACACAAATGTTGGAAACAAAATCATTGTGACCAGAATCTTCTTCCAGTCTGTAAATAAAACTGAAACTAACATGGTGTGAAGGTTGTAGTGAATCATGCGAAACTGAGTATGTAGCAGACCCATAGACTCCAGGCGCTGTTCTTGAAAGGATTGGTGTTGGTTGAATACTGTGGGCTGGGGTTCTTGTTGTTGCTTTCTGACACAAATGTCAGAAAGAAGAACATCACAACATTCCTTCCTCCTCATGTCTGCAAATAATACTGGAACTGCATGGAGATGCTGGGTAATCTTCTTTAAAACCAAGTATAGCATATACTCCAGGTATTGTTCTTCAAATGTCTTGGTGAGGTACAATACTGGGGGCTGGGGTGCAAATGTTGGAAACAACAGCCCAACATCATGGCCAGAATCTGCTGCTGGTCCATAAGAACTGGGGTATGGATCCTGCTGAGGCAAAGCAGTAACTGGAGACAGGGGGGGGGATACTGATCATATTAGTGGCTCACTGCTGGCTACTAATACTAGTGCTTGAACAGTAGAGGCCAGGGAGGGGGATTTTCCCCTTCAGAAGGGGGTGTCACCATGGTGATTCAGATGCCAGAAGGCCTTGGTAAGGTATGGTTGTATACAGGAATCAGTAGGAAATCTTGGTGATAATTTTCAGAATCAAAGTGTAATTTTGTGTGTTTGAAAAATTTGTTTTGAAAATTACTATACATGGATCTCTACTACTAAGTACTACTAGTAGTAATTATATCAACTTGGACTGGGTGCTTAGTCTGGCAGTCTAAAGTATTTTTTTGATAGAGTTCTAGCCTGTTTTCTAACCAGCAACTGGTATCTGAAAACAACAAAGTTCAGCAACAAGACTGGCTGTTAATGGTGTGCTGTCAGCAGCTCCCCCCAGGCCTATAGTAGTAGTAGTAGTAATCGTGTAACAACAGCAATGACGACACAGGAGGGCACTACTGCCTGTTTCTTCCAGCAGCAACATACTACTATTCTTCTTGTTGTTAGTACTAGTAGTAGGAAGCTTTTCCCCAAAGAACAGCTACTACTACTACTCGTCCTCTCTGGCCATACTACTATCCTCAGAGCAGTCCTAAATGTCCTCCTCTTACACTGTTTGTGGTAAAAAAGTGACTGAAAACTACTAGTAGATATATATAGGATCAATTTCACTAGTAGTAGTAGTAGTACTACTACTACTACTACTACTACTACTACTAATAATAATAATTTTGGGTGTTTGAGTAGAATGCCTTTTACGGTTAACGCATTTTATTCCGAATTAACTCGTATCGTACCGGGTACTTCAGTACGTAGTGTACAGTGCGTACCTACAATACAGTAGTGAAAGCAGAAAGCAGAAACTGCCTACGACCTACCACCGCCAAACAATTCGATGAAGGTGCTTTCTACCGTATCAGATCCTAGCTCTACAACATCTTCCAAATTGTTTTTCTACAGGGCAACCCATTGAAATCGAAATCATGGCAAGCGACGACGATGTAACCACCGGAAATGTCTTTGACCTGGATAAGCTCAGCCTCGAGGAACTCAACCAGGCGAAACAGCAGGAAGAGGGACGCCTCCAGGCCCTCACGAGTCGTTACGCTCAGCTCCGCGCAGCGGCCGCCAGGCTAACGGCGTCGTCCAATGCCATATCCGAAATATCGCCATCTTCTGAAGGGAAGGAGGTAATGATTCCGCTAACGGAAAGTGTCTATGCCCCTGGAAAGCTCAGGGAGCCAAACAAACTGCTAGTGTGAGTGCTGTGTTGCGTGCGGATTTCGGTGGTTCTTGTTCTGCCTTACCTTGCTCTGTGTTGTGTTGCGTATCGAATGTCCATCACTGATCGAAATAATGGCAGAAGCCGTGACTTGACTTTCACAATCAAACACAAACGCGGCATTTTTGAAGAAAAATCTGATGGTATCATCCCTTGTTTTCGTGTTCAATGTTGGAATTTCTGATTGCCGTTTATGTTTGTCCCGTGATTTTCCTTGACACAGCGAAATTGGCACCGGATTTTACGTTGAAAAGAAACCAAGCGAGACCAACGAATTTTTGAATCGGAAGCTAAAGATTGTCGATGCCAATTCCGAAAACATTACGAAGGCTGTCCAGGCAACGAGGTATGTGCCTTATCGTTCGGCGCCATTCAGTAGGTGTAGCGCATCCATATCGATATGAACCATACCAATTGAATCAAAAGGTGCCGGTCTTGCACCTTTGCAACACCGAGTGGACTCGATTGGGTTCGATTGAAATTTCCGTGCCGGTGCTGGAGATGTAGCTGGCCGTTCCCAGAAACGAAAAAGTCTGGCAGTGTGCCGTCTTTGACTTTGCCGCTAATGTCTTCCTATTGGCGGAATTGTTCATGCGTTCGTCTTAATTTACTCAACACAATTCAACTCACCCCATCTACACACTTCAACTTTTCAATTAATACCGCATTCACACAACTTTTGGTTCACGTTTTGCAGACAAAACTTGGACAGCATCGCCATGTCCATGCAGGGGAAAATGATCGAAATCAGAGCGAGGCAAGAGGGGCAACGACACCGTGCGGCCGCGGAAGGCAGCAAATAAACAATAAGGAACATAGTCCATAGATTAAATCATTTAGCGATGTAATACAGTAAACACATATTTTTCTTTTCTGCTTGTATTCTTCTTTCAGTTTTGCCTGCAGTTCCATTGACGTTGCAGTCCAAGAGGTCCAGTTTCGACCTTTATATCATGATAAATGCATGTTGATATTTTGGGCCGATCTGCACGCGTCAGGTTTCTTTCAAGTTTTAGAAAGTATACAGCAATGCCATTTGGAAACCGCCGAGCACAAGCATCCCCTTCAATAATCAATCCTTTCTTCAAAGCAGTTTTGTGAAGCATTTGGTTTTTCCATAACCGGACTCGAATTTTGCCAGAAGGATAATTCAAGATATAATGGTATACCATTTTGAGTTCTTTCTTACCGAATCATCACGTTTCTCAATTTTTTGATTGATTCATTGATCGGATTGCAGCATCGCTCATCCTCTTACACCCGTCGCACAAACTCGACGCGGCGTTGTTCTCCTCGGTACAGATACAGGGTGCCAGTCAGGAGCTTGACCTTCACCACCTCTCCCTCCTCGGCGTACTGTCCGTCGCCACTCTTGCACTGTTTCGAGCGGTTGGTCCCCGAAGGAGGCGGGAGCTTGCGCTTCCCCGCCAGGATTTCCGTTCCTGGCATTATGGCTGCGTCGTCGATCATCGCTTGGCGTCGGCGGGAGCGGGCTTCTCTCGCCGACGCCCTCGAGCGGCTTGGTTCGTCAGCGGGCGTAGAATCATCCCCACTGTCCTGCGAGAGAGTGCCGCTGCCTCTCCAAAGCTGTGCTGACCGAGACCTAGAGATAGCAATCTCCGACGTCGCATCCGTGTCATTGTTGTTACTGTCGCTGTTGTTGCTGACGTTGCCGCTCTTTCCCTTTTTGCCGTCGTCACTCCTGTCCCCTTCACTGGAAGTCCCTTGCCCCTTTCCTTCGGCCGCCGTATTCGCGGTACTGATAACGGTTGCCTTGCTTCGGGTACCACCACCACCGCCACTACCCACAGTCTCTTGGGCCATAATGGGATCTTCGCTGTCCTCAGCGGAATGAAGCAGCTTTCCAAAGGCTCTCTCGTACATTTCCTCATCCTTGTAGGGCTGGCTGTCGAATTTCACGAGCCATCGCGGGTTGGGTGACGGACCTTCCGTCAGTAGCTGGGCCAAGCGGCCTCTTGCAATCACGCCATGCTGCCGGTCAATCTTTCAATATCGAGAGAATATGAAACGAAAAGAAAGGAAGCGGAAACGACGGGAAGTTGAGCGAAACTAACTCGTATTTGATCGAAGATGGCTTTATATATCCAGTCCACCATGGTATAACGCTGTATTGACAAACGCCCAAAGACATTCTCCAAGGATAGTTGTGATCATGTCCGAATTGGTTTATCTGTCTTTCCGATATTGCTAGCGAATGCCTTCAAACTCGCATTTGCAAGGACTGTAAAGACTAACCTCTACGATATCGCCAACGTTATAGTCCGAAACGCCTTTCTTTGTCGAACGACGTGAGCGTCTTAGAGAAATAGCCATGTTTTTTCCTTTCTTTTCTGCGTCTCACTCCTCCCGGCAATGCTGCTAAGCTGTTTTTGTTTCTGTTGCACCTGCTCTTCAAGCATTCTGCCGTACAATGAAAAGGAAAAGCAACAAAAAAAGAACACGACACCAACAGACACAACACGAGTTTTACCGCTATTGCAGTAATGAATTAATAATTAATCGGGCCGAGACGAATAACCCCTACTGTAAACGCCTACCGTACAGTCCTACTCTACGCTACGGAAAGCATCATCGACGTCGAGGCGGTCATGCTCATAAAATCAAAAACAAAACGCTAAATTTCGAGACGTGGATAATGTAGTTCGTAGGTTTGAAGAAGTCTTTTGCGCTGCGCTGCAAGTGGAAGTCAAATTTTGAATAGCATATCAGCAAACTCATCAAATGCCACCAGCATCTCATTTCCGTAACTTTATGATATTTCTTCAGAAAAAAAGGGGTTCAACCTAGTACGTGCTCTACATTAAAAATATGTTGATGCCATGAATGTTTTTACGTTTTTCTCCCCCTCAAACTCCCCCCCACTAGCAGGAGTACTAGCTCGTCCAGAAGGACAATTCCAGTGAAATAACGACTATTTCTTTTGTTCTTTTTTAGTATTCTATTTGACGTCCATGATTGTCGTTGTTGTTTGAGGTGAATACTAGTACCAATACTTGTATGGGTACTGGTGCAACTCTTCTGAATAGAGGGGTCATACTAATTATTAAGGGGTGCTGCACAAAGCCTCAGAAGAAACTGACATTCCAATTTTTGTCCCCCAAATTTATTTGAAGGATTTTTTATATATTTCAATTTTGACTATCACTTCTTAACACTTCTTGTGGTGGTGGTAAAACCACCAGTTCAACAAGTTCTAACTTTTTTGAAACTGCCTACATATTTTCCCACAGAGTATTCCTCTGTAGGGTAGTATTTTGGTGGCATGTGAAAAATCCCACCTCTCATTTGGAAACAAAAAATGATGAGTCAAAGAACCACCAGCACCACCAGCCAACAATTACTACTAGTACTACTACTGTGTAGTTGCAAAAGTAATAGTAGTAGTAGTAGTAATAGCTTTCATGCAAGAAGAGGACAGCCACATCATACTGCTGTCAGTGGTGGGCTGCTTGTATTTTTTTGCTTTTGAAACTCCACCATGCTGGACCTTGTTGTTCCTCACCACCATTTTTTAGAAGTGACTGGGTATTTACCCATTCTTGTACTAGTAACATGATGTGGAAACTAGTAGTATTACTAATAGCTAGTACTACTAGTACACTACTACTAGGTACTAGCACTACCCACAGTCTACCACCACATGTGATGCATGGATGGTTCTTGTTGTTCTTGTCTCCCACCACTGCTGTCCATCCCTTCTTTCCACCAACAAAGCACTATTTTCTAGTAGTAGTACTAATATAGTAGGAAGCAAGAAAGTGATTCCCAGTCACAATTGTCCATTGCAAGAATGTTGTTATCTCCATTGAATTTGTGTTTTCATTCCTTCAATTCAGAACCACCATGCCACCATGTCCTCGTCCCCTTGTTTCATCCATAGTACCATCCTATCCTCCTTCCAACATGTCATGTAATCCAATAGAGTTTCACCTTTACTACTTGGAAAATATGCTATTGCTGCCAGCACACTGGGGGGTAAGGAAATCACATTATAAAGCTAAACGGAGGTTTACTAGAAATTTCTTGGTGGTACAGAGCAGGTTATTCTTCCATTGGAAAAAATAACCCACAAAATCATGCCCCCCCGAATATTCATTTCAAAGGGGGGATGCGCGCGAGGTTTGCGGATTGCCCAGTGTTTTTCTTCAAAACTTGAGAGGCTTTTTGCTTTTTCGGTTCGATGCCCGGATCGCGCGGCAGAGCAAGTGCCAAGGGGTACGAGTACGTACCCGTACTACCTGTGGTACGTAGTCGTCTATCGTGTAGCCTCTCTTCGTCCACCGGCAAACCATGCTAGACGTCCCGGTACATAATTATTACCCGTCCCCGCGCGCGTCCGGACATCATTCTTTTTTAATGCTACCACTACCAGCACCAAACTCGAGTACGACGAAGTAGTTTCGTGCACGTACACATAACGTTTCTTACGGTACGGTTCGTACCGGTACACTGAGAACTGAGTGAAGCGCTATCTCCAATACTAAAAAAGAGCTGCGTCGGGTACGGAAACAAGTGAACTAAGGTACCGTATGCAGGCTCTTTTTTCCGCTAGAGGTATGTTGTTCGCAGTGCATTCAATAATCTCCGCATGCCCTATTGCAGTGCTCACACCCCATCAATTTTGGAACTTGTCCCTAAGATTCGGTGCAACAATAATAAAGAAATATCGTAGAATCCCAATTCCAATTGAATCCTTATTCCGACACTACGCACGGTATTCTTAACATTGTGATAAGTAAATCATAACGGTACCGAAGCAATAACATGGCTGCTATGGTGCAAGACGATAATATGGTACCGGAAGAAAGGGTGTCGTCTCCTATCAATAGCAGTGGCGATGCCCAGCTTATGGCACGGTTGTCAATTGCAGATGGTAGCGAAGGAAAAACGAAATTGTCATCGGCCTCGAACATCAGCAGCAACAACAATAATGGTAGCAACAATGTCCGCCGGAACTCGAAGCACACTGTCAACGAGGAGATAAGTCCTTCCGATTCGTTGAAAGCGCAGGCGCCTCAGGCAAGAGACATCAAGTCCTCGGACTTGATGCGCGGACCTCCTGCACGGACGTCGTCTGGAAAAAAACGAAGCAACAACCACAACAAACAGACCACCAACAGCAAGGCACAAGAAGCCAGCAAAGCTCTGCATTCCTTGCAAGCATCGGCAGCCAATAATGACCGAATCATCCGTGCCACGCCGAAGGGATCGTCCGCTGGAGCCCAAACGAGGGCATCTCCCCCAGAAGAAGAACCATATATTGAAGAAGACGAAGAAAGCTCGGAAATGTCTGCCTCGGACGAGGATGGATCGTGGATTACCTGGTTCTGTAGTTTACGAGGAAACGAATTTTTCTGTGAGGTCGACGAAGATTATATTCAGGTGGGTTGTTAATTTTTTAATTGTCGGATGGATGCTGTGTGTGACTCGTTTTTGGAAGATATAGAACACGTTTTGGGATATTTCTTCTCTGCGAAGTGCTTGTGTGTTATGTCTGTATGATGGCTTTTCATGATTGCAGCCTAAAAAGTCGTTTGTGTCCCATTTTCAATCATTTTCATATTAGGACGACTTCAATCTGACAGGTTTGAGTAGTCTTGTCCCTTATTACGAGTATGCTTTGGACATGGTGTTAGACGTTGAAATGCCCATGGAAGATTCGTTGACGGAAGAACAACAGGAAATCGTAGAATCGGCAGCCGAAATGCTCTACGGACTCATCCATGCACGGTACGTGAGATGAGAGTATTGCATCGTTTTTCTGAGATGGAGCTGAATGCGAAAGCATATATCCGGAACAATATATCTCATGTTTATTATTTGATTTGGATCGATTTGGTTGATCGTTTGTATATTCAGGTACATTGTCACCAATCGAGGAATGCATGCCATGTACGAAAAATATAGAACAGTAGCCTTTGGACGATGTCCCAGTGTATTTTGTCAGGGACAGCCCGTGCTTCCTGTTGGGCTCTCGGATCTTCCGAGAAACTATACGGTGAATGTCTTTTGTCCTAGGTGCCACGGACTATTTTTCCCGAAGAGCACGCGGCAGGCCAACATCGATGGTGCCTACTTTGGCACTACCTTTCCACATCTATATCTCATGACACATCCGGTAAGTTGACATAAAACAGCGGATCAAGAAACATTGTAATTTTCTTTCCAACCAATGTCTTCGAAACTATCAGCTCAATTCTATTGTTTCCGTGTTCATGCTTTCGACAGGATATGATCCCGGCGAAACCGTCACAAACTTACGTTCCAAGGGTTTACGGGTTTAAAGTGAACGAGTCGAGCCTGTTTTACAAAAATCACGAAGAAGGACCTCCGAAAAAGTCAATAGATGGTTCTGGGAGACATAGCCGGCGTTCGAGTGGTAGAAGTCGTAGGAAATAACACGGAGGCAAAGCCGGCGTTCGAGTTGTTGAAGTCGAAGGAAATAAAATACTCAAATCAACGAGCTGAACAGATTTCTTGCTCTGTTTCCTCCAGCAAGCGTTTTGATAGCGTCGGAATGCCTCGATCCTATACCGTACGTCCTGCTTTCTTGAGAAATGTTGATAGGCGACAGGAATAGACCTTGGACAGATTGGGTTAAAAGAAATGCTAGGAGTTCTAAACAACAGAGGCGCATCCAACCGGATAAAGGTTGCCACTGACTCCTCTAGTGTTAAATATTTAGACTACTACGTTTTGAATCTTTCATGAGCTAAAACAGCAATTTTGACTTCGTTTCGGTCAAAAATACTTAACTGTTGTGGTGTAGACCACATTGTCTTCAGGGAGCTCGTTGATGTGTTTGCTCCAGTATACAAGTTTACTGTCAACAACAACGAGATTGTGGAAATTCCCTGTTATCCTAGTGACAAGTCAAAAGGGAAGAAGAGGGAGGTGGATGCGGTCTGTGCTATTGGGATGATCCTCTATTGGTACAGAACAAGAGGATCTGTTGCAAGAGCAATGGCAATGGCAATGGCAATGGCATTTGGCTTGACATCCACCGTGATGTACAAGTGGCTCATGTTTTCACAGAGAGTGATGCTTGTTGCCCTTCACAAACACCCACTCATTATGGTCAGTGTCCCAACTGAGCAAGAAGTGGATGATTATGTTAAGGCAATTGGACACAAGTATCCAAGGCTTGGAGAACAACATGTTTGGGGTGCTGCTGATAGGCTGAAGAGTGTCATTGAACAGTCACAGGATTGGTACAAACAAAGAGCATTCTACAATGCTTGGAAGGAGAACACCTTTGTCAACAGTGTGTTTGCATTTGCCCCAGATGGTAGAATCAGGATTACAGTGTACAACTGCCCGGGGGCCTGGCATGACAGTTCCATTGCTGACCACAGGGTCTATCAAAGGATTGAGGAGATCCACAAAACATGCAATGGGGCAAAGGTTGTTGTAGACTCAGCCTTTGCATTGAAGCATTACCAGGATAGCCTAATCAAGAGCTCACAGAGGGATCCTGACAATGGCAACCTCCTCTTGTTGAACAGGTTTGCCACATTGTTGAGACAGATGTCAGAATGGGGGATGAGGATGATCCAGGGACAGCTCCCAAGGATTAAAGAACCAATGTTGTTGGAAGAACTTGGAGATTGGAGGATCATCCTGGACCTCCTCATCAACTTGTACAATTTCCAGTGCAGTACCACAGGACACAACCAAATCCTATCCACCTTCATCAAGTTACCTCCTGCCACTTCCGATGAGGTTTCGTATGAGAAGAAGGAGGAGGATCTTGTTGCAGGGTACTTCCAAGCAGGGGTCATAATTTAGAGGGGTGTGCAACACCTGCAAAGACATGCTGTGTTTTCTGGCATTTTCTGAAAAACTCATATTCCATGCTAGGCACCAATAAGAAAAATTTCCCCCCAGGGATTTTTTAAAAATTCATTTTTACTGCATAATACTAGTAAAACTATCCAACCTTTAAGCAGTTACAACATTGGGTCATTCCCGTTAATCTAGATGGTCTAAAAGTCTAAACCGTCTACTTTAGGTTGTGTTGGTGCCTCCTGCTATCATGTTGTGCATTTAATACCAAAATAGTGTGGGGGATGGGACAATGGGCCTCCTCTCCTTGTTTTTTCTTTTTGAGGTCAGCCTGCATCTTTGAGGTAGCCAGCCTCCTTCTTGTATTGTTGGTGCTCTCTTTGCTGCAACAACAAAGAAAGGAAATACTAGAATGTACTGACTAAGAAGAGCACCAACCACCAGGACACCATTATTTATGTGTCTTGATGCTTAATAGAGGCGGCGCCATGGTGCCATTGTTGTTGTTGTTGTTGTTGTTGTTGTTGTTGTTGTTGTTGTTGTTGTTGTTGTTGTTGTTGTTGTTGTTGTTGTTGTTGTTGNTTGTTGTTGTTGTTGTTGTTGTTGTTGTTGTTGTTGATAGCCATGGCATATTCTCCTTGTCTCTTGTTGTTTAGGAAAAAAGAGTCTTAATTTTTGGTTTGTTCAGTCTTAATTTTGGTGGGGCTCCTTTCTGTTGAGTCTTTGTTCAACAGACTCAAAATTTTGAATTGTGAGTTCCACCATAAAATTTACAGCCTTCCTCTCAGTCTATCCATTTAAATTTTTATTCCAATTATTCTAAATACCCCAGATCCCTACATTTAGCGCTTTAGAGTATTTAGAATAACGGGAATCACACCCAATAAATAGGAAGTATAAGTACTGAAGTAGTAATACATAGGAATTGCCGTACATACTTAACGTACGTACCGTACATTGACACGATTTTATGACTGTATTTCGAGTTTCGAGTGATGAGTCCCGTACCAGTACGAATGAATTTGTAATTGTGGCTTCAAACTTTCAACGGATTGCGCGGTCAGACAAGAAATTAATGATGATTTGTGATTTTCTATTTTTCTAACTTCTCCACTTGGAAAGATTGACAGACGTCAGTGTTCGAGAGTGGCAAGTCAGGTGGAGATATTTTCTAGAAATGAATGGAGCCGCGCGAATCTCGTACTAACCGTCGCCACGCCTTTTACGTTTTCACTGTAAATGCCATGATGGATGATGTACACTCAGCAACACTTCATCAGCAAAAAATCGTATCCTGCCGAGACATCATCATCCGCGTATTTCGGGTTCTTATCGTATGGGGTCGTAGCGTGCGTACGGTAGAGTAATATACAGCACGAGACACGAAACTCGGAACACTAGTACCTTGGACGACAATAACGTCATCTTTTCTCATATTCTATCAAACTTGTTTCGTAAAAGTATTTTACGATGGCGTTCTCAAGTTTCTTCAAGGCCGCCGCCTTCTTGGCAGTGATTGTTCCCAATGAAGCCTTCGCACCAGCCTCTCTTGGTGTTAAGACTGTACGTGTCGTGATCAGATGGGTTTGATGCTTCCAGCGATGCTGACGGAATTCTTTCGAAGCAAATGGTATCCTTTGTCAAGGATTTACATTTCGCTGTTGCGTTACCCTTGACATTTTTAGATGCATCTGACGTTGTCCTTTTATTTACTTTTTATAGTCTAGCTTGTCCATGTCCAGCCAAGCCCAGGATGTCGACAAGAAGGAGGCTTCTTCTGCCGCCCAGCGTGAAGTCGATCTCGACCTTTACCGTAACATTGGTATCATGGCTCACATTGACGCTGGAAAGACCACCACTACCGAGCGTATCCTTTACTACACCGGAAAATCTTACAAGATCGGCGAGGTTCACGAAGGTGGCGCCACAATGGATTGGATGGAACAAGAACAAGAAAGAGGAATCACCATCACATCGGCTGCGACCACATGCCAATGGAAGGACTACCGTATTAACATCATTGATAGTAAGTCGAAATCACCTCTGCCTGTAAAAACATTTTGTTTCAAAGTTTCTCTACTAACACTGTTTCTGTTGTCGTTAATTTGAAAACAGCACCTGGTCACGTTGATTTCACTCTCGAGGTCGAACGTTCTCTTCGAGTTCTTGATGGTGCCGTCGCTGTCTTCGACGGTGTTGCAGGAGTCGAACCCCAGACCGAAACCGTCTGGCGACAAGCCGACAAATACAAGGTCCCTCGTATGTGCTTCTTGAACAAGATGGACCGAACTGGAGCCAACTTCTACTTCTGTGTCGACACCATTGTCGATTTGCTCGGAGCGACACCTGCTGTTCTCCAGCTTCCTATTGGTTCCGAAGGAGATTTCTTGGGAGTTATCGACCTTGTCACTAAGGAGGCCATTGTCTGGCGGGGAGAAGATCTTGGAGCCAGTTTCGATGTCATTCCTCTTGCCGAATGCGATGATATTCCTTTGGTTGACGATGAACTCAAGGCCAAGGCCGAAGAATACCATGAAAAACTTGTCGAACTTGCCGTTGAACAAGACGAAGATGTTCTCATGGAATACCTTGAAGGAGAGATGCCGTCTGTCGACACACTGAAGAGACTTCTCCGTAAGGGAACCTTGAACCTTGACCTGGTTCCTGTCTTGACAGGAACAGCGTTCAAGAACAAGGGAGTCCAGCCCTTGTTGGATGCTGTGGTCGATTACATGCCTTCCCCTCTTGATGTGCTTGCCATTGCCGGTGTCACCGAAGACGGCGAAGAAACCGAACGTAAATCCTCTGATGCTGAGCCTATGTCTGCCCTCGCCTTCAAGGTTGCAAATGATCCTTTCGTTGGTACTTTGACTTTCACCCGTGTTTACTCTGGTGTAATGGAAGCCGGAACCAGCGTGTACAACTCTGTCAAGGGAAAGAACGAGAGAATTGGACGTATGTTGCAGATGCACGCCAATGACCGTACTGAGATCAAGTCTGCTGTCGCCGGAGATATCATTGCTTTGGTTGGACTTAAGGACACAACAACTGGAGAGACTCTTTGTGACAAGGACAATGCCGTCATTCTTGAAAAGATGGAGTTCCCTGAGCCTGTCATCAAGGTTGCTGTCGAACCCAAGACCAAGGGAGATCAGCAGAAAATGTCCGAGGCTCTCATCCGTCTCGCAGCCGAAGATCCATCGTTCCGATTCGCTCGTGATGAAGAGACCGGCCAAACTATTATCGAAGGAATGGGAGAACTCCACCTTGAGATTATTGTTGACCGTATGAAGCGTGAGTTCAACGTCGAATGTACCGTCGGGGCTCCTCAAGTGTCGTACCGTGAGGCAATCACAACCACCGCAGAAGTTGACTACACCCACAAGAAGCAATCTGGAGGTTCTGGTCAATACGCGCGAATCAAGCTTGTCTTCGAGCCTAAGGAGTTCAGCGAGGAAGAAGGTGCCATGGACTTCGAGTTTGTTTCTGATATTAAGGGAGGAGCTGTTCCAAAGGAATACGTCCCTGGTGTCCAAAAGGGAATTGAATCTGTTCTCGGAACCGGTGTCGTTGCCGGTTTCCCTGTATTGGGAATGAAGGCTACGCTTATTGATGGTGCTTACCACGATGTCGATTCTTCCGTCATGGCGTTCGAAATTGCCGGACGTGCCGCCACCCGTGAAGGTTTGAGAAAGGCCAAGGCTCGTTTGATGGAACCTCTGATGCAAGTCGATGTGTCCACACCAGAGGAGTACATGGGAGATGTACTTGGAGACATCAACTCTCGCCGTGGTATGGTCGGTGAACTCGGAGAACGTGGTAATGTTAAGACCATCAGTGCCCAGGTTCCTCTTGCCAACATGTTCCAATATGTTTCTACTCTTCGATCGATGAGTAAGGGACGTGCCAATTACTCCATGAAACTTGCCAACTATGACTTCGTCCCTCCTAATATCGAGGAGGATCTGAAGAAGGGATTCACTGGCGTTGAGGAGGAATAAACAAATAATATTGTAGTTTAAAATAAAATCTTCTTGCACTTCACAGTACGACGCAAAAAAAATCCTCTTGGGTTGTATATTTCTTTCATTATTTCATCTTCTGTCCGTTGTCTGTTTATGTTCAGTGCGCTACAGAAAAGTTCTGATGCAAGATGCATGAAAATATTCACATGTTAAGTAGTTTTATGTTACATCCTGTTACAGAAATCGAAAGTGGTATCATCGCATGTCTTAAGGTTCACGAAATTCACGGACTCTGGGAACAGACATTTTGAACTTGATTCCATTTGATGAGTTTTGTCTTCATCGGACTCTACAATCAAAGAGTGATACTGGCAAACACTGCAGTACGACACAAAATGATGTAATAATCGATATCTTGAAAGTATCATTGTGGAAATGTGGCAATGCAAAGCTTCAATTTTACATGAGAGTGCAAGCGCACGCACAATCCTCTTTCTCTCCAATGTTGTTTTCATTATCATCGTCGTAAATAGTTGCTTGTGTGGTATCCGATTTTATCTCCACCGAAGTTGCAACTGGAGCAATGGTTTCTTCTCTGACAGGCAAATCATCAATTTTTGCAGGGCTCGTTTCTTCTGTTCCTTTTGTGATCTCTGATGTCGACGCAGTAACTTTGGGTTTAGCACTCTCTGAAAGCTTTGTTGACGCAGTAACCTTGGGTTCCACGTTCTTTGAAGTTGCCGCCGAGCTGGATCGCACTTTGTTACCATTATTGTTCTTGATAGCATCAGGTTTTGCTCCATCGCCTGCTTGTGCCTTGTTTTTCTTTTTCCTGTGCCTTTTTTTCTTCTTCGCGCCCGCTTGACCCTTTGGTTGCTGGGCACCACTATTCTCTTTATCCTGAGGTTCTGTTTTCTTTTCTTCCACTCCTTGTCCGCCATTCTGCATTGCCGCCTTCTTTCGTTGTTTCGCACGCTTTCTTCGCAGAGAGCGAGCCTTGCTTTTTGAAACTATCGGGTTTCCATTGGCATCCCTAGATTGTGTGCTATCGACTGTGTCTGCGCTCTGTGTCGAGAGCACGGCATTTACTTGTACTTCGCTCATGGTGGTTTGACAATAATAAAAATAATAATGGCGGCAGATATTAAGGTAGCATGGAGGTTGAATGTGGGCGCCAATAACTTACTCTAATTTTTGCGGATGAAACGAGGTGATTGGATGATCACCATTCATACGTATCACTACGACTTTTTCTGCTTCGTACGGCTGACCATATTTTTACCGCAATGGAAGGTCGGACGTTTGTAAGTAAAGTACTCTGATAGTTTGGAGCACCAAATTTTTTCTTGACTCACAACGGATATTTCTGAGGGATGCGCAATAAATAGTTTTACATGAAGGAAAGACTAACGTAGCATCTTATAGAATTTTTATTCCGGAATACACGTTCGGCAGCCGTTACAGCAATCTGGTATGTCCCGAACTGTGGTGTCCTGTGTAATCGACCGGAAGCATTTCCCCAATTTCCGAACTTTATGAAATAGATCGCAGCTTCTCCTGCCGTTATCTTTTAATTTTATGCAAAGGCACGAGTTCGTACCGCACGTACCAGGCATTATGTACCGTACAGTAATCTTATGAAAATACGAATGAAAGAAAACGACTAAATAGATTGCAGGGCGGTTTCGACCCACAATAATTCGATTTTTTTTCATTCTCCCATCTCCATTTCCCCTCTCCCCCCCTCGACACACAAAAACTACTTAGTCCTTGAATATTTCTATTACTAGTGGTCCTTACTGCTGGAGAGGTAAATTCATTCCTTACTACTTGAGAATTTCCATAAGTGCTTACTACTGGAAAACCTCTATTAGTGCTTACTAGTGGGGACAAAACATTAATGAGCACTGCGAACTGCTGCTGGGTAAGGGTGTTCTGTAGTACTAGTAGTACGCCGTGCTGGTGCTCGATCAATTTTTTAACTACTGTAAAAATGACCCTAACAATTTTGTTAGTGTTTGCATGGGGACAATGGAGAACCAGCCAGATTTTTGCTCTCCAGTAGAAAAATTGTTAGTTGAAACTGCACTGCAATCTATTTCTTAGTCCTTCTGAAGACCAACAGTTAGTAGTGCTAGTAGTAGTAGTACTAGGGGTCACCAGCAAAGCAACGGTATTTGAAAAACATTGTGCTCGCCCTTTTTCCATCCTTGACTGTTGCACAACACTGTTGTGTAATAAATTGTATAATAGTAATATAATTACTTGATATAAGTCCCATAGTACCACCACTATGATGTTGCTATTCACAAATCACTCAACAATGTGCCCATTTCTTGTTTCTCATACCAATCCAAAATTTCAACTACATAGTACAAAGGAGTCCTCTCTGCAATATCAGGATCAAGCTTAGTGCGTAGATCACTGATGATCCTCTGGGCCCTACTAAATATTCTTTGCAAAGGAGCAGATGTTGCTTCTTGATAGCCAAGAATGTTGGAAATTGGTTCTTTTTCTTTCCCCACAATTGTAGTAGTAGAGGGTTGAGGTGCCTGGTCCTGCCACTCTCCTTCTTGTCTATCTCAAAGGGTGCAAGTTGGGGATGGGACATGTACCTAAGCAGCTCCAGATTACATGATTCCTTGATACTCTGAGGATTGGCAGACACTACCACAGCTTGGTGCTCTTTTTGTGCCTGCCTAGTACTATCACTGCATCAACATCAAAGGGTCCTACTCTTCTGTACTACTAGTACTACTACTAGTGTCACTATCACCACCAATAGCAGAGGCTACCACAGAGTCATTGCTGTTGCTGGTAGCATGATGCAACAAGTATTCCAACAGGAATTGCAGTAATATTAACTACTACTACTACTAGTGTAGAAGGTCTAAGAATGTATTGCATTTTTATTATTATATTTTCTTACATGTACCCACATGGTACTAGTAGAAGTTTTTAGCTCATTTTTCCAGTTATAATTACTTACCAGAAAAATTATTTTCATTGTTTATCCAGTAGTGAGTGGTTGCAAACATAAATTTTCAAGTAATACTTTGTGACGTGATATTGAATCCTATTTTGCAGTAGTACTAGTAGTTGCAGTACTACTAGTAGTAACAAGGATCTCAATTAGAAATATTTTCTACCACTACTACTAGAAGTAGTAGTACTAGCTACTACTACTAGTAGGGACTTATTGGATTTTTTGGTGAGGAGGAGGAGGAGGAGGAGGAGGGTGGGCGGGTGAGAGGGTGAATGGAGGAGTCAGGAAAATGAGAAAAAATGAAATCTGGGAGTTGGGAAGTAATTCCTCCAGTCCACTAGTATGAGTTTCATTATAACTGTTTTTTGCTGATCCTGAATGAGTGTCCCCTACTTTATCTAACACTTTTTTGAATTTTTTGGCAGTTGATTCCACAAATGACTGTGTAGAGCATGTAGAATCAGCACCAGTACTGAAAAACTAAAAATGTGCATGATGTGTATGAATAAAATTAATTTTTTTTTTACACTTGAAAATAGTACACTCTATTAACAACACGGCAATCTCAAGTTTGCATTGACAATGGTAACAAGAAGGAGGAGCACCTCTTTTGAATAAACATGGCAGGCAATGTAAGAAAGTTCTCCCTACTGCCCTGAATGATGGCCTAGTAAAATACTAAATCTTGGCTTTCTATTCTGCAAGATTGAGTATTAAATGACCAGTAGATCCCTTTCAACCTGTAAAATGAAATCTACATACTAAAAATTTCTCTGTTTGAAGGCTTGTTGTTGTTAGTATTGGGTGATTCCCACAAACATATTTTGGTTTATGTCAGCGGGAATACATTTCAGTGGTACAGAAGACACAGACTGCCAGCTCAACTTACATATTTTCCCCCCATTTTCGGAATTTGGAATCCGTATGGCGCATAGCACCCATATCATCTAGTGCGCATGCCCCCAGTCACACTAAAAATCTAACTCAAGGATTTCAATAAAAAAATATGTAAATTACATAAAAGTTGGTTGTCGTGGGCCCACGACAACCAAAATTTATTTAATTTACATATTTTTTTGAGCCGGCCGGTCTCATTTTTACATATTAATATGTTTGCGGGAATCACCCATTCCAAGAATCTTACTGCTACTAGCACAAGAGACAAATGGCAATAGAATTCTAAACTAGTACTAGCACCACTAATATGAGCATTCAAATGGCCCAATTATTGAGCTTGTTATTTCAGTAGAAAAGATGCAAACTAGACACTCATAGTATTGGATCAGAGAAAGTACTTGGCATTATTGCACTTGTACTAGTACTTACTAGGAGCTCTAGTACATATGGTGCGTACTTTAATTTGTAATTATTTTGTCCCTTCTTGCTCAGCACAGGAAAAAATACTTCTCGCTACTAGGCACTTACTTTGTACTGTAGTACTACTTTACCTCTACTGATACTATTAGTAATACTGCCTATAATACTACTACTAGTAGTACATTAGTGGTAAAAGTATACAAAGGAAAGTCAAAGAACTATGAGCCCGCCCTGTGCCATTGACTGATTCTTCACTTGTTTAGTAGTTCTTTCAGAGGACTTTCCCTTCCTTATCATTCCCTCATCCAGATAGATGACACTGCCTCTTGCATTTCTAGAACCAGCAGTACTACCAATAGTAGTACTAACCTCTGTGGGAGCTGACTCTACTACTCATGAATGCATTCTACGTTTGAAGCATGATTGATAATCGCATTCCATTTCTTACTACTTCGTTAGTTAGGTACTTTGTGTGTGACATTCATTTCATAGTAAATGAAACCTACTACAACTACTACTACCACTATGCGAGCCGTGCTGTACGACATGGGTATTCATAGTAATCTGCTTCTGAAAAGTTTTTAAAACAAGATTGAATGACTATGCTTTGCATGTCTCGCCCGTGTACAGCTCCCTTTGTACAATTCCCATTATATTTCCAACATCGGCATCATCGTGGGTAATGTTCTTGCTCATTAACATTCTTAGGCATCGTGACCGTAACGCTCGGGCACCGGTACCTGAAAACCTCGAATTGCTTCGTAATCTGAATACCTTGGTGGCAATCTCCTTCCCAATCTGGTTCGTAGATGTCGAGCGAATTTTGCATCGCTCTATCAGAAGTGCAATGCGCTGTAAAAGCAACAATGCCAAATTGTCTAAGTCTCTGATCATGCACGGGGATGATTCAGCAACAGCAACGTTATCGAATGTTTGAAGCATCAACAAAATTAGACCTTGTGGAGTGTCCTTTTCGAAATCCTTCGTCAACGAGACCGGCAAGGAGCAAAGGGTATGAAGTGACAGAGCTTTCGTAGATTCATCAGCTATTCCCAGAATACGAAGGCTTGATTCGACTGAAACTCCAAATGGCAGAACATCCGGGAATAATACCCCATCGTTTTTGACACGTCGCAAGCAAAATGATAAGGCATGGAGAGCAAGAAAAGAGGCTCGATATACGTCACTGCTCGGTTGTCCCGTTTGGGATGGGAGTAAGCACAAGGCCACAAGTGGTTGGATAAGAGCACACGTTTCGTCAACGAGGTCAGATGATTTCAATTGAGGAGTGCAAAAAACAATTTTTACCAGAGAGTTGGCAAGATGACAAAACAAAATCCGAGATCGTTCTGTTGGCAGTGCTACAGCAAGTGACCTGCTGGTACAAAAAGAGACCATCCAAGAGAGGAGTCCACAGCGCCGAATCAGATGCACACGAGCTCCGTATCCGCCATGATCGATCATTGCCCTGAAGGATTCAAGCATTGAGCAGATCTCAGCCCCCTTCGCTTCAGAAGACGTATTGGAAAGCCTGACATTCTCGAAGGAAGAAAGCACTAGCTCAGGCGCATGGCACGAAGTTAGTAGCTTATAACAAGTCCCATCAACAACGCCGCTCGAAATCATTTGAAGCGCCCACATGCGCTCTGCACGAGACTGATTAGAATCTTCAGACGATGAGCAGAAAAGAGACATAAACGCAGGAAGCCGCTTCATGTCTTGAAACGCCCCATGATCATTTTCGTTCTTCAGAAAATATCGGTTGATGGAGACATAAAGAGCGTCGTCAGGTTTTGGAAGTACCAAGGCTGCACGAGCCATGAAGTTTGCTACGACTGGAGTTACTCTTGGTACAGTCGACTCAGATTCATCAAGCGCCTTTCTTAAAAGTAAACATCTCTGAACAGAATTCAAAATCATGACAAGTTGTGGTCGATCTCGCCATGATGAAGAATCAAGAGCATGGTTCGTACGGCAAGCTTGGAGAATAAGGCCCAAAATAGAAACAGCATAGGAGCGAACTGTCTCGCACATGCTAGACAAAGATATAAGACAAAAGCTTATAGCACCTTTCTCACAAAGCTGCTGTATAGAAGCTACTGAAGACTTCGACAAATTCCAAGACGGCATCATCTCTTTTTCTTCTTCATTATTTCTTGATCCATCATTTTCACTCTCATCCAACGGAATTGTATTCTTTGGACTAAACCCCGATTCGATCGTTTTCAGTATTAGAGGGAGAATAAATGCTGGACTATACGGATCAATCACTTCTCTTTCTCCTTGCTTTCTTGATGTATCGGATGAACTCATGTTGAGAAGTACAATCATCTCTTCGTTAGTTTCTCTTGAGATGTCATCAACCTCTCGATGCAAAGTATCTTCGGCCCAAACATCATCTAAACGGATATTTAAATTCACTTCATCAAAAATGGGAAAGTTGGAAACAGTAGCCCTAATCCTGGTTGCATCGAGGGCATCAATGAACCAATCAAATTTTCTCGTCAGTTTCTTGTCTTCACTACCTTCGGTATTGCACTCTTTCCATTGTAGCTCATCCATAAACGGTACGACTTTTTGAGAGCAGACACTAATCAGCTTCCGAATGAGAACATCGAGATTGCTCATCCCAGCATCAAAAGATGAAAGTATTACTTTCCACGTTGAACGGTCGAAGTCGATGCCGTCGGTGGAAATCAAATTACAGGTGATCATAAGACTCACAATAGCTTCCTTGATCTTCGCCTTAGACTCTGTCTCATCATCTTCCTTGCTTCCTGCACCAGCAAATAGTTGACTGAACTTTGAATGAGACACAAGCATCGAAAATATTTCTTTAGCTGATAGCATCGGCGATGCAACATGATGCTCTTGCGTGCACATGAGAAGAGCCAAAAACTTCAAAGACAAGATGGGGACTTCGTCAGCATCTTTCTCTGTTGTAACTCCAATTTTCAAGCACGCCCGACATACTTTCCGAAAAACTGAAGATTCAATTTCTTTCAGAATGAAATTGCCACGGGTTTCAGAGTTTCGAATGAGACGTAATAGCCATGAAAGTATAACGTCAGAAGGAAGCTCTGTCGATGCGTCGGACACGTTTTTTTTCAAAATTTTAGGCAACATTCCAAAAAGGAAACAAAACAGCGACGAAGCTAGCCTTTTTGAAAGTGTCTTGGATAGTTGACCTGATTCTTCGAGGTGATTTAGGACACATATACCAAGGTAGCAGATATTTTTTGTCCCCTTCCCGTGAAAGTGAGAGTTTGGGGTCGTGGCAAATAGCGAATATATCCGAATCAGTTCACTTGTCATCGAATCAATGTTGAAATTACCCATACTTCCTGCCTCAAAGATTTTACACAGCAAATTTAGAAGATCTGTGATGCCATCGAGAGAGCTCTTTTCCACACTAGAAAGGGTCTTGATTAATCTGTTTGAAACTCTGGGAAAAACGATATCGGAGAATATCTTCAACAGATCAGAAGAAGGTCTAATTTCTTCGAGTAGAATTACCATCGAATAGTCTAGAATACCTGCTTCCCAAACTTTCGAAAGTCGTTGGCCCATGTTCTTTAAACAGTGCAAGAAAGGGTCCAAATAGCGACGAGACTCGAATTTGAGCAAATTATTGAGCAAACCTATCTCTGCAAGAACCAAGGATTCATCTTCAATCGAGAAATCGAGACAGAGCCCCAGTAATTTTGATTCTGGGAATTCTCCAATCACTACCAACAGCGAAGCAGCTTCTGTGTTTTCTTTACGCAAAGAATGCGCTAAGATGGAACTAAGACTAGCTTTGACCCGTCGATGATATGATTTTGTTCGTTTTCTTGCCTCTTCCGCAACCCATATCCATGAATTTACTGCTGTCTCGAGCACAGTATTGTCAAGAGTAACGTCGTTGTTAAGGCTTTCGGCTTCAATCTGAAAGCAACAAATCAAAAACTGAAGACTAACGTCTGAAAAAGCATTTTTTCTATCCGTAATCAAGCTGAGCTGGACCTTTTCGGTGCCTTTGGGCGGAAGATAGTCCTTAATGAGACACATTCGTAACAACTGTGATCTTCCATCATCATTGGAAAAGATATCATCCCTAGACCTGTAAAATGAGTCGATCAGAGCTAACTTCCGCGTCTGAATGAATTGATTCGATGTCGAAAATGGACACGATAAAATCAACATATTAAGTTCATCAAATTTAGGATTCGGCATAATATTTTCAATAGCAAAGATATCAGTCAGCATCGAAGATATCTTCCTTTCCATTGTTGTGGTTAATGGATGCTTAAAGGAAATGGAAAAGGTGAGGATATTTCTAATTGCAAAATCTTTGAGAAGTGAAGTTAGACACAATTTCAGCCATCTCTTAACTTACCAAAAGCAAAGTAGGAAGTATTCGATGGATAATTCGCCAATATCGTGTTTTTATTGATCCATGTTTACCCAAAAATATGAAGGTATGATTTAGTAATTTGATGAATGAGAAAAGCCTTGCCGGAGATAAAGAGACTAGGTCACTCCCATCCTGGGTTCTTAAAGTATCAATAGGTTTGGTCCCAACAAGAACATCAGGTATCTCTGGGTAGAGCGAATCGCCATCGAAATGTGTGCTTAGAAATCGCTTCGAAAGTGCCTGTCTAATGTTGTCATCCGTCTTGTCCAAATTCAAGATTGCTTGCGCATAGTCAACTAATGGTTCGAAAAATATGCCCTGGGCAACGCCAAATTTTTGACTCTTTGAGTGTACTATCACAGCAGCCAAAGGAAGCGGATTCCGCAACCGCACTAACGATCTTGCAGTGACTTGTGCAACCAATGAAATAAATGACTCTGAAAAATTTTCGGCTGTCGAAAAAGCCCCAACAAGCAGAGGTGTGAAATTCATATTTTTGGACACATGATATCTTTTCCAGGCGGTACCAAGAAACGCTAATTGGGGCCATGTACTGTTCAGAACTCTTTGCAAAAGCTTGAATACGGTAGGTAAAGTTGAATTGGAAACGCCATCGATCCAATTTGAGATTTCTTCTTGGATCCACTCGGTAGAAACTTCATTGCTCGCTTGCGATAATAATGCGGTAGCCATTAATGTTGAAATAATCTTCTGGCACATTGTGTGTATCCGTGTACTCTTCGTAGATAGCATCACCTCAAAAATGATCTTCGAGGATAGTAACAGGTGATCCGATTCTCGTTGACAATACCCAATAATGGTCTGTAGGCATTTTAAGATACGAACCTGCAGCAAGGGCAGAACTCGATTGAATTGTTGGGCATCACCCGGTAAAAGTTTTATCCAATCGAAATTTTGTGATTCCACAAAACTTGGCGACAAAGCGACGTAAGACTCAATAATCCGAAACAGATGATCCGATAGGATTGCTCCGCACTTGTAGCTCGATATTCCATCAAAGCGGCTTCGCAACGACAGAAGAATTTGCAAATCCGGAAGCCATTGAAAGGTAGCCTCCCTTAATCTTTCAATGAATCTTTTGTCCCATTTGTACATCGTCGTGCCTTCTTCCCTGAGTGATTGAAAGCGGTTCAATATAACAATAATCATTTTGAAACATTCGAGTCGGACAAGATGGTTTCCATTATTTAATGATTTTGCAAAGAACTGGCCTTTCAGTTTCATTGGAAACAATACTGGTAACACGTCATCGACGAGTATGGGTCTCCCTCCAATTTTCGACGACAAGCAGATTCTTGCAGATGGACCCTGGCTCAGAAGAAGTGTTATGAAACTTGCTCGGGAAACAAAAGCAAAGCTATTCTTTGCATCCGGCATCGCCAACATGGTAAAGAGTTCTGTAATCAACGTTGGATTTTGCTTTGTACAATAGAGAAGGAAGCGACGCAATTCGACGCCTGCCTTTTGAGATTCGAGCAACCGTATCATCGATCGAGCAATTTGATCGGCTCCGAAATTAGGGAGGAATGGAGATACCACCGAATCCGACAACAATGGAAAAAGCAGTCGTCTGGCTTCGACCCCAAGATCCTCTAACGAACTTTCCAACTCATCGTCTTCATTGTCTTTGGCGTCAAGAACCTGAACAAACGAACTATTTTTGGCGAGAGGTGGGGCGTGTAATGAGAGCCGACACAAATGTTGCAGAGGATCACGAGCCATCAAGTTAAATCGAAGTCTAGCATTTGTAACGCTCGCACGGGAGAATAGTGAAACTCGTACTTTTTCAAGCATATCGATGGCAGCGTCCATGTACTTTTCGTCGTTGGTCTTCACGACACTGGATACAGCGAGTCCTTCTCTAAGGGCAAGAAACAAAATGCCAGGTTTCACTTTTCTCTCCTTGTTCCCTCCGGTGCATATATATGTATTTACTGCAGCATCCTGTGCCTGCAAGAGTGACGTAGCCAGAAGAATAGCTTCTGTTCGGGGTGCCTTAGAAATCGATTTTGTTTCCTTATTGGCTTGCAATGGCCTCAAGCAAACACGTAGAACACCTTCCAAAAGACTTTCATCTAGGTACCTGGCGACGAGGCGGGCATTCGAAGTCGATATCATGCTGTAGTGCTTCAGGACTTTCAGTGCCGGAGCGACCAATAAATCACACCCTCCGACCGTTCCGGGTTTTCCGCGTCCTCGCTCTGTCTCCTCATTCAGAACGTTGAATACTTGTGGCAGGTGCCTTTTTGTAAACCCTTGCAGGAAGCTTACGCTGGGATTGCTCCCAACAATGTGGTCCTCAGTTCCATCCGAATCGACTTCTTGTAATTTGGGCATGGGAATTGCTACCGTAAGAAGCTCTGCGATTGCCAGTTGATGAGCCTTGCTGATTGCGCGAGAAAGCTTTGACTTTTTTTTCTTGAGCAGTCCCCTGTGGATCTGTCCATCGGGAGCTAAATCATCGTTGAGGAGTTCGAGCGCCAGGGGGCTTCTTTCGAGATATGCCTTGACCAGTCCCGTCGGCCATTCTCCCTTGACCACCTCTGCACGTTCCCCCCTCGCAATAGCAGTTCCAACAAAAGGAACGTGGTACGCTGCCGTGTCGGCCTTCCATTCTTCCGACTTCTTTAGCTTCTTCGCCGGGGGTTCATCTGTACATGCGTCTTCCATTTCGTCATCGGACCAGTCGTCGTCGTCTGAGCCACCAACACTATCGTCACTGAGAGAAAGTGCAATCTCTCGCTCTCTCCGGACAGCCCTAGCAAACTCTCTGAGGACCTTGAGGATAGCTTGGTGATTGTCGCCATTCAGCGTTGCCGCAAACTCCGAAGCACGAAGAACACCATCACTAGATGCCATTCTCAAATTATTTCTTTGATAATCAAAATATGATGGAATTATATACTCTTTACTAAGTGATACAGTGGGAAAAATTTGTAGCGCACACGAGGATTGTTTGATTTCCGTCAACTTGAATGTGTCAATTGCTTTCAAAGAAATGTTTGTCCTATCTTCGTCACATCATCATTGAATCACGTGAGAGATTTTCGTGATCTGGGTTTTTTGATCCGAACCGATCTCGAAAATGAACAAAAATCCTGATGTTTGATGTTTGGCGGGTGGGGTAGTTGGGTGTTCGTCCGCCCACCGTTGATTCGTATTTTGAGATACTGTACTCTGTACTTCTACTTCGTAGCAACTACCTACTTGTACGTATCTGGTACCACCTGTATGGTACCTAACAATATATCAACCAAAAATGCAACCGTGTAGGATGTAGTACATAATATAGGTAGGTGCACCAAGCCAGTTCGGGTGCCTACTGGGCTGGTACCGTATTAGGGTGATTGACGAGAAGTACTCACACTGTCACGCACAAGGCAAATTCTATGGAAAAAATGCAAGTCGGGAGAGAAATTCTCGACAATTACCTCACCTTGACACCGACACTGACACTGATACCAACACTCCTGTCAGCTAATAAGATGGTCCTTTTGTTGAGGATAACGATACAGCACAGTTAACATAGTAGTATACAGCCACTTGTTCTATTAGGGGGACAAGTAGTTAGCAAATAAGAAGGCGTCCGTATCAGCGACGAGCCTCCGTATCAGCGACGGGCCTCCGTATCAGCATCCTCCGTATCAGCAGCGGACTCGTATCAGCGGACACCATATCAGCGGACGCCGTATCAGCGGACGCCGTATCAGCGGACGCCGTATCAGCGGACGCCGTATCAGCGGACGCCGTATCAGCG